AAGCTTTAATTAGGAAACCGAAATTTTGTATTAGAAAAAATTATTTCAGCATTATCTTAAGCCGATTTGTCCAGTTGATCCTTTAGTTTTTCAGCATGGGTGCGGAGAGTTTGGGGTTAAAACGATCGACCCCATGCATGCAGATTCTTGCATTATTTTGTGAATTAAATACAAAAAAACCCCGAAAAGTTTAATTATTTATGTTCAAATACACAAAAGCATAATTTCATTAAAAGTCAGTAGCCGCTCATATATATCAGGTTTATGAAAAAGAAGGGGCGTGTTTGCCACAAAGACTTTTAGGCAGCTTTCAAAACCCCCTCCACTAACCTCGCATCCCATTTACACACGTTTTACAATTAATTTTCTATTGTAATTTTCTATTTCTATTCTATTTTCTATTTTCTAATTTATTTATTTATTTATTTTTTTTGGACAACTTTCGTTGATTTTTTAGACTTTCACAAGACTGAACCTCCTGGTACCACCAACCCTCTGGATCCGCCCTCTAATCGTGTCAAAGTTGTTTACTCAAACTTTATTATTACATTATTATTATTTAGGGAAAAAGGGTGTTGTAGTATTCACGTCGTCATTTTCTTCCAGAAGGAGCTTTGCAAACTTTTCTAATGGGTTAGTGAAACTAGCCAAAGTGCTCTCTGGTAGAGATTGTCTCGGTCAACTTCACCCAGACAAAAAATCCTTAACAGTCATACGGAACCCCCTTATTAAGATTATGAATATATGACAATTGCAAAATAGTGTTGTAACTTTTAGAATATAAAAAAATAAATATTTACTGAACAACACAGGCATCATGCATGTAACATCATAAACATGTAAGCTTTGTTAGAGCCTGTACTTTGCGTTTTATTTTATATCTTAATCTATCGACTTTTCTTATTTTACCTGATTAAATTTAATGTTTTACTTGACATTTGAAATAATGTAGAATTTGAAAATAAATAAAACACTTTTACAAATTTATTACTGTTTAATTAAACCTGTGTTTACATTTTATTGATATATAGTAGGGATTTTGTTGCTTAATCCATATTGATTTTACCGAAACGAAATCAATCTCCCAGAATCGCTTGCGCTATTTAGATTAACCAATGTCAGGGTACCAGTCTACCTCCCATAATTCCAGAACACGTAAGCGCATTTGAAGTTCTTCGTAAGATAACTAGTCAGCCCACGGGCTGACTAATAACAGGAAATATGAAGATCTTTAGATAAGCTGGATCTAACTAATAAAAGAACAACATAATAAAGACATACTTCTCGTCGGCCTTTGTCCAGTGTAGGGAAAAGGGGTGGGGTGGAGCAGAAGGGTAGTTGTCATGACATAATCAGTTGAGCTATCAGAGGTTTAGTGATTGCTTAATGTTTTGGATCCAAAAGTTCTTTTTCTATTTATACGTTTTCAACATCAAAATTCAAAATGTAAAAGTGTAAATAAATAGGGTTTACTAGCGTAGTGGTAGTGCTGGATGTTTTTGTTTTTATTTGTTTTGTTCATCCATGACTTCTTAATCTTTTCCTATATCCCGAGGAAGGGACAGGACGTCCCGAAAATTTCCATCCGTGACCTTGTATCTACATGTACTAAGTAGATCCGACGGTATACAGTGTTGTTGGGTTTTTTTTGTTTTTAGTGCTTTACACCCACACCCCCCCACATCTATACTTATATATATATATATATATATATATATATATATATATATATATATATATATATATATATATATATATATATATATATATATATATATATATATATATTAGGGATGGCAATCGAATACCAAATTGCCAATCGGTTAACCGTCGGTTAATCGTATCAAGACATTCCGACCGATTAATCAGTTATTAAAATCGTATCAATAACCTTTTTCATTATTATAACCTCTATACTCAAATAAACAAGACTAGAAAAATGTTTATATTATTTTTTTCCTACTACAATTACAGATTTTTTAACCGAGTATCTGAAGTATCAGATTTAAAAAAAAAATCAGAAGAGATGTCACACAAGTTCGTTCTGCATTGTCACCAAACAGTCAAAACTTAATTTAGACTGTTTGCTTCATAATATATTGACAGGTAACTGCAAATGATAGAAAAGGTAAGGCACGCATTATATATATATATATATATATATATATATATATATATATATATATATATATATATATATATATATATATATATATATATATATATATATATATATGCGGTGACTTTCATATAGCATGGATACTCTAACTAATATTTACATTTGCATTTTCGGCACTTAATAAAGCATGGGTACATTAGCTGATAATCACTATATGACTTTAAATCATGAAGCAAGATTAACTTTATCTGTCATATAGTATATGGATCCTGTAACCCTGGCAACTTTCATGTTGTATGGCTTTTCTATGTATAGATATGCCAGCTGATATTTATTATGATGTTCATGTAGTATGAATATCTAGCTAATATTAGCTACGACTCTCAAGTAGTATGGATATTTTAGCTGATCATAACTAAATGACTTTCATATACATGAAGTATTGATACTCTATCTGATAATAGCTATGACTTTCATCTGTATGGATATTTAAGCTAGTCATAACTAACTGATTCCATATACAGGAAGTATTGATACCCTATCTGATAATAGCTATAACTTTCATCTGTATGGGTATTTAAGCTCATCATAACAAACTGACTTCAATATATATGAAGTATTGATACTCTGTCTGATAATTACTATGACGTAGTATGGAAACTGTAGCTGAAAATGACTATGACTTCCATGTAGTATAAACATCTAGCTGATAATTACTACGACTTTCTTGTAGTATGTAGTGGCTACTCTAGTCTGGTTGATATTAACTTTGATTTTCATGTAGTGGATACTCTAGTCTTTCGACTTTCGTGAAGTGGATACTCTATAGCTAGTCTAGTTCATATTTTCTTTGACTTTCATGTAGTGGATACACGAGTCTAGTTGATAATTACTTTCATGTAGTGTACTCTCTAGTCTAGTTGATATATATTTACTTTGACTTTCATATAGTGGATACCTTAGCCAAGTTTTAAAATATTACTTCGACTTTCATATAGTAGATCCTCTAGTCTTTTGACTTTCATGAAGTGGATACTCTATAGCTAGTCTAGTTGAAATTTTATTTGACTTTCATGCAGTGGATACTCTAGTGTAGTTGGTATTTACTTTGACTCTCATATAGTGGATACTCTAGTCTTTTGACTTTCATTAAGTGAATAATCTATAGCTAGTCTAGTTGATATTTACTTTGACTCTCACATGGTGGATACTATAGTCTAGTTGATATTTACTTTGACTCTCACATGGTGGATACCGTCTAGTTGATAATTATTTCCTTTAGGTCCTAACTTTCATGTAGTTGACTGATATTCTAGTCTAGTTGATATTTTCTTTGACTTTCATGTAGTTGATATTCTAGTCTAGTTGATATTTTCTTTGACTTATGAAGTGGATACTCTAGTCTATGTTATATATTTACTCTGACTTTCGTGTATTAAGGATTCTCTTGCTTTGATCTGCTGTGATTTTCATGTAGAGTGGACACTCTAGATACATGATAATTACTGACTAAGACTTTCATGTACATGGATACGCTAGCTGATAATTACTGTGACTTTTATTTGGTATGGATACTCTTGTTATATACTGTGATTATCGAGTAGATTGATACTCTTGTCAAGCTTATATATTTATTATAACTATTTTTATGATTTATTTTGACTTTCATTAAATTATGAATATACTCTTTAAAAGCTGATAATTAATAGCGAGCGCAGCGAGCGGCGCGTCACTGCAACCTTTTAAAGCAATGCTTGGGCGAAAAGAAAATTCGGACTTTGCGCACCAAGTGATTTTATTTCCGCAGTTACCTGTGGTCCCATAATGCTTAGCGAATTGCATCTCGCCGCAAACCACATTCTCGCGGTAGCAACAAAAATTTAACAAAATATAAAATTACCTTCATTTAATGGATATATAGCAGAAAGATAGTAGATTAAACGTTTTTGATTAAAATTAGCACTGTTCAGACTTCGTTTTGGTAATGCAACATACCAATCTCCTATGCAGAGTTGTCGTTCGTTCCTCTCTCAGACACATGAATGGTAGAGAGTGGCAACATACATACGACGTCATATGACGTCAGAGTCTAGACGTAGCAAATATCACGTGCGGTTTGACGAGCCCGATCTAAATTAAAACTGAAAGGTATCTGCGCTCGCCCTAACGGTCGCACCGTCAACATATTATAAGACTTTCATGTAGTATGGATACTTTAGTCTGAAAATAGCTCTTCAGAGCTAATGTTTCTTGTTGTCTTACTCGACTTTAAATAAAATATTATCTTATCTCATCTTATCATACTTTAGCTGATGTTTACTGTGACTTTCGAGTAGTATGGATACATAGCTGAAAATTACTTTGATTTTTTTGTACAGTTTGGACAGCGGGAAGAACGCGGGACCCCCCCCCCCCCAACACACACACACTTTTTCCTGAGTATAGTATTTTGCTATACCAACTTTTCCTTTAAGTGCTGGTTGCCCCCCCCCCCCCACTATTTGATGTTGTAAGGTCGAGCACTGGCAAATTCCAAGATTTGGACAGTAAATTTGCTCCTTTTTTTTTGATTGTCAGATTGTTTGGGGACCCCCCGCCCCCCCCCCTCCCCACCCCCACCCACTTTTGAAACTGTTGCTACGAGCCTTTTGGATACTCTAGCTTAGTTACTGTGACTTTTATATAGTATGGAATCTCTAGCTAATGATCTTTGTTGTTCTATCGTATATATTCATCAGTAAATTTTAAAAATAATTATTGATGTCAAAAACTATGTTCCTTAGTTTTTTTTCAAGCTCTTCTGTGCTTCCGTAGAAAGAAACGTTTTGATGATTCCGAATGATCGGCAACATGGCTGAGATTGTGAGACAACGTTGCTGAGGTCCCGAACGCCTGGTCTTGTTTTTAGACGGAAAATTCTGCACATAAAAAGAAGCGGTGAATTTTTACGCCAGGTAACACATGTAATTATGTAATTGTGGGAAAGATGCAAATAGACAAACTGCGAAATCAGAGAGCCAGTTGAAAATTTATATTGAAAAGTTGAATATGTTGTAGGCCTAACCAATGCTAACTTTAGATCTAAATCTAGATCAGGTATTTTGGGAGCAACACATTGAATGAAGATTTGAATAGTATGACATGTCAACTTTTATAGTGCACACTTCTCCTTTTGTTCGCATCATGACAATATATTATTAAATTTTCTTCCGGATGTGAAAAATGAAACAATTTACGGAAAGCCCAGAGATAAAAATAGATATCAGGTCAGTAGGTTCTTTATTAACAAAAGAAAACAATGTATTGAATGTGATTCCTTATCGCTTTGATAATTTTTGTGATTTTTGTTATCTTGAATAGTGGAGTTTTTGTTGAATTGCTAATTATAACGTAATGTAGCCTCTTCTCTTGTTTTCAAACAATATTCAAAGCATCTTAATCACAATAAGGGACTTTATTTAATTAGAAATTGCACAGCTGTCTTGGTGACTCTTATCACTGCATGTGACAAAGGCTTTTATAGGACTTCGGGAATTTATTTATCAAAGACACCATCTACAACAAGGAAGCTCTAATGTGTAAGCCATTTGCCAACTTTAGGCAATTGATTTGGAATCTATCAAAGATGTGGATTTCATGAAGATTACAAAAAATTTAAGGTCTGCAAAAGGCAGAAAAAATTATCAGACAGTCAACATAATAATACTTGTTGTGATTTGATTGTATACGTATTTAGAAGTTCAGGCTGTATGGACAGTCTGACTGTGGATATTGGCCTGGGTAGCTCAATGGTAGAGCACCTGAAGTGATACTGGTGTCGCAGGTCGCCAGCAATATAATTTCTTTATTCATTCCTTCTTTCTTAAAAAATTCTATTACTCCAGGACTATGTATAGTGGCAAATGTTTTAGGACATTGTTTAGGTTGTGTGAATAAGTAAGTCCTGACATGGCCTGTGAACTTATGTCATGGAGGTCAAAGTCTGTGTAAGGAGGGAGGAATGTAGAAGTTAGGGTTAAATGGACTGTGGATATTTGCCTGGGTAGCTCAGTGATAGAGCACTACACTTCACTAGGGGTACGGAGCCTGATTCTCGGTCAAATTTTCTCAATTCATTCCTCCTCTCCAAGTACACATACACGTATCGTGTATCTATGAATGAAAAGTAATTGGAGTTTGACTAGTAGCACACTTTTCCATGTGCTCGTAACATTGGTAATTAAGAATTAGAACATTGATAATTATATGCATGATTCTTTTACATTTGCTTATGCATATTTTAATTTGTTTAATAATTATAAAATATTATTTTTTTAATATAAGTCAGTATGTAAATATTAGTTTGCTTTATAATGAGGTCAGTAGTGCACATGTACAGATCTATGTTAACAAGTGGATCTTTGTCAATGAAAACTTCTTATTTTGTCGAGTTTATAATCAGTACATGTACTTATACATGTCAAAGTACATATTAAAAAATCAACATGATTGTCATATTTTGCTGTTATAAGCCATGAAAATCATTTATTTATGAAAATGGTTGTTTGTATCAGTAATTATTTAAACATACCATAAGTCTTCCAGAGATGATTTTTTTAAAGATTTAATTTATTATTGAAACCAAAATCTGATTTTTTTCCAGGTAAGAAGCACTGTGTTTAAGTTTACAAGATCCTCCATTTAACAGCGTAAACATGCCTAAAAATAACATCTTAATGAGGAAAGATGAAAATTCTGAAAACGTGGAACCCAAAGGACGAAACAAAAAAGGAAAGAAAGGCAAAAAGAAAGATGAGGTGGAAGACATTGATTTGGATGAGATTATCAAGGCAAATCGCCAAGTGTCGGACAAAACTCAGAAGGAAAAACAACAAGTCGCAAACTGTCCTCACATGGCTAACAAGGAAGAGCACCAGTTTATGTGTACTACATGTCGTGTGATTTGTTGTGAACCCTGTTTACGAATGAATCATCATGGAGAACAGCATCGCTGGTGTGAGTTAATGCCATATGAACCTTCAGATTCTGAATCCACAAACATAGAACCAGAAGAGGAGCTTACTCCTGTCAATATTCGTGGAAAAAGGCGTTTGCCTGGAGGATATGTGAGTACGCGTAGACTTGGATCAACCCGGAAAAAGGAATCATGTACTTGTTGCCATGGGAGTCATAAACATGACCCCAAAAGTTTAAAGCGTTTAGTGCCGATTGATTCCAGTCGGTTTAATGATGAGCTGTTAACTGTGGATGACTCCAAGTCCAGTGATGATAGTGATAGTTCTAAGACTACTAATACAGAGGAAGAACAAAAAACAAGAAAGAAAAAAAAGAGAAAGAAAAAGAGTTTTCTGGATCAAGATCCTGATGACATTTCAACATGTCCACCACAAATGACGTTTACTTTTGCTAACGACGAAACACTAAGAGATATTGCACGAGAGGATCAACTGATGGAGACAATGAAAATTATAAATAAAGGTGAATTTAGAAAATTATTCCGTGAAGAGGAAATTATTTTGGAGAGGATGAGGAGTTATGCAGAACACACAAAGAAGATGGAGGATAGTCAGAATCTTAGAATTGAGGATATTGAGACAGAGTGTGTGCATTGTGAGGAGGAATGTAAGAGATGGGAAATATTCAAAGAGGATCTTGACCCAGAAGCCATCCTGTACCTCAAAGAAAACAATTTTGATATCCATAGCAACGAACCAAATGAGATTAGTAAATATGCCGATCTCAGAATTGGTGAGTTTGTGGACGACATTGACGATGAGGAGTACCAGAGTGAGGAGGAGTACGACGCATTATCAGACGAGTTTGAATCAGATCAAGGCTTCACAGAGGCAGTCCGTGAATGGTTAAAGCTACCACCACCAACCCGTCTGAATTCTATAGAAGAGGCATGGACAGCGCTGACAAAAATGTCTGCCACCAGTATCCTTCATAGGCTTGCTCCTACTGAGCGCAAAAAATTCATTGATCAGGCAATATTTCTGATAGAGAAACGGGAATTGGTGGATATTGATACAGATTTCAGTAAATCACATGGAAGCAAAGCAGATGCAGAATTCTTAAAAGAAAATCCTGAATATGAAGACCATGAAAAAGCTGCTGAATTGGAAAAGACATGTGAGAAAATTTTATCTGGCATTATGCAGTTAAAAACAAGATTTCAGAAAATATATAAGCGTATTGTCATTTATCGTGGAGGAACAACTATTGTTGATATTATTCACACTAAAGTAGACAAAATAGGAGAAGACATCATTCAGTCAATCGTAAATTATAATCCAGACATACATGGGGAGGAACCATTTTTTCTGACAGATGAAATTCAAGCTGCTCTGAACTTCATTCAGGCCAGCAAAGTCTCTGCTGAGCTTCCTAATGCAAGCATCTTAAGAAAGGTCCTCAACACACGACTGAATAATAAATTACTGAGAAAGCTGCTTGTGAAGCAAGAAAAAGAAAAATACCTACCCAAGAATTGGGGAAATCCAGATGGCACTGAGAAAATCAAAACTGACAATGAATTTATTGAAGAAGTGAAAAAAGAGCAAGATACATCAAATTCACAGGTGATCATCACACAAGTCGATGATTTGATGAAGATGGTGGAACTGGGTTCAGACATTTATCCATTTATAGAACGTCAAGAAATAGATCCTTTTGGTCCAAAAAATTGTCCCTTGGACATTTACTCTATCTGCCCAATCTCACCAGCTCTGACCTGGATGCACAAAATTGGTTCAGAGAGCAATATGCTGGTCACTGTCGGTGGAAAAGTAGTTCGTGAATTAGACTTCCAAACCAGTGTGGAGTGCTTGACAATGAACAAGGAACGTGAACTCCTAGCAACGGACCCACTCAATAAAAGACTGATGAAGGTCACAAACATTGAAACTATCACCACTATTCACAAATTTGAAAAGTATCTGCCACTGGGGATCTGCTGTTCACGGGAAGGCAACATTCTGGTAACATTAAGTGAGACGTACTATGATTACAATGTTCCGTTTGACAAAAGGAGATTTGTGGCCCGAGTGTCAGAGACTGGGGAACACTTGATGGAAATAGAGTTCTATAACCAAGAAAAAACTGAGAGATTTTTTATTGTACCGCGCCGAGTGACTGAAAATAGAAATGGTGATATCATTGTGGTAGATAAAATTCTAAAAAATGAAGGCCGACTGCAGTTTTTCAACAAGGATGGCATTGTTATAAAGACCTTTGATGGCCACAGGGATATTTTTGAACGTCATTTTGACCCAAGGGATGTGGCTTGTGATTACAGGCATCGTTTATTGGTTTGTGATTACACAAATAATAAGATAATTATATTCCAGCCCAATTATGACCTTTTCAAGGTCATTGCTTCATATGAGGGGGGCTTGAGGTACCCTCTATGCATGGGCCTAGACTCCAGCAGTCGAATCTGGGTTGGGGGGAAGTTTGAAAAAGTAATGGTGTTATCGTATGATAAAGAGATTGATGAATAACATTTAACTTTGTATGTAAATGTACATACATGTATACTTGAGGTGCTGGCAGAATGTATGCAGGTGTAAATTGTATGTCAAATATTGTACATTTGTTTAACTGTAAATCAAATACTGTACATTTGTTTGACTGTAAATCAAATAACATTTGTTTGACTGTAAATTATATTGTTAAGTTTACAAAATTAATCTATGAATTTTCCATACAGTACCGTATAAAATGTACATACAAGTATGTGTGAAAATGACTATACTTTAATTAACAAGTGTGATACATGGATAAATATTGATTTAACAGCTACATTGTACATACATGTACATTTAAAAATTATCATTTATAAAAGTTTACTCTTCTGTTTTATTTAATGTCATGTTAAACTGAAATTTATGGAAAATATACATATTTTATTATATTACATACATACAGTTGACAAATTTTAAAATATTTTTATATTGGAAGTATTGAAATATAGTGTCACTTTTACTCTTTTTTAAAAAGAAAAGGTTTTAATTAAATGATTTTTAAAATTTATTGTATTTGCTAAAAAAAAAATTACGGATGTAATCCACATTTAGGCAATATATTGTCTATCTTCTTGCATCATAATAAATTCTAACAAGTAGTGCATATTTGCCAAGTGTTTGTTTTAAACAAAAATTCTATTGCTTGTATTGAATTTTATGCCCCTGCCATAAAATGGTCAGGGGCATATAGTGTTACCCTGTTCCATCATTCTGTCTGTATGTATAAGGTTGAGATTGCATATGCAGGTATTTTACCAGAAAATACAAGAATCACCTTATTAAGGTTAAATTGTATAGTTTTTATCTTAATCATGCCCCTTGAACTTGGAAAAATATCTTTTGTGCAAACAAAATTTAAAACTAAATATGGCATTTGAAATTTGGGCTGCCTGCAGGGGCATTCGTGGCGTTACGACACATGATCTAGTTGTTTTTTTTTAAATCTACAATACTTGACATTTCATAAAAATTTTATTACCATTATTTCATGTACAATAATATTCAAATCACTTTTGACTTTTAATAAATGAGCCTAAAATCTGTTGGTGTATTCTATTGACGATTGTTCTATTTTGTTTACAAAAGTACCAGATTTACTGTACTGCACCACTGAAATCCTAAATAACCACATCGGATCCATAGGTGACACCTTTTTTCCTCTACTTTACTATTTGAACTTAATCTTTATATAGTAAATAAGAAGATTGACCTTTGAGCAATGTATTTATGAAATCACCATCTGTATAGTAAATATGAGGTGTAGGTAACAAATTATAGCATTAATCTCCATCTTTGACCTTGACCTATGATGAAATGACCCCAATATCCACAGATACCTTCCTTTAACTATACCCTATATACCTTACTCCATATATATGAAGCCTGTAGATAGAAAAGGGTATCAAGATATTGCATATCAATCATCTACCGCTAAATCTTGGATGTTTTTATCATCTTCACAAGTATAGATTACTTATAGAGTCTACTGGTTACAGAATGTATTTATTGCATCACAATGGTCATTAAAAGCACAATTCCTACATTTAACTTTGACCCAGTGACCTCAAACTCTAGGAGTCTTCCCTTTATCATTCTCCACCTTTGTAAAAAGAGTGTAAAATAATCAATATACACAATATTATATTATATACATGTTTATACTTATAGACAATGGTAACTATTTTGACTGTTGACCTTTGACTTTATTACCTGAGTGAAAAATATAGGTGTCTTCTAACCATCCTCCATGTATGTAATATATATATATAGTTCTTACTATTATTCCTACTATGGAATTTATTTCATGAGTGGAACAGGATTTTTTGATATTTTCATGAGTGCAAAGCACGAGTGAAAATATCAAAAAATCCTGTCTCTCGAGTGAAATAAATACCATATTCATCTACAAAACATTGAATTGTCTGATTATTACATTTGCCTTTGTCTTTTCGTAACACAGTGTCATAGGCTGTGACGTCATAGTTGAGCGATTGAGACGTCATAGCTAAGTGATTGCGAGATTGAAAAACATTGTAAACATGGATTTTTAACGACATATTTGGAAAAACATTGGCAGTATAGCCATTAGTCTCTGTCAGGATGACTCATTAACTCTATCTTATAACAGGCCGGGGATTTTTTTTTTTTTACACTCTTTGTGAAGGGAAGGAAAATCTTAAGTTTTTGCCGCACTTCTGATATTCTCACACTGTGAGAATACAATTTTGATATCCTTTTACACTGTGTCAGAATATCACTTTTATTCAGTAAATAAATTACAGTATTTCACTGTTGAAAATGTAATAAATAAATAGTTCTTACTAAGTTGAAAGTTACTGAAGCTATTGCATCACTAAAGTTCTTTTAAAAGGACAAACAGACCGTGTGATTACCAATGGGCACCCACATTTGTTTGTTTGTTTTTTCATGTGTTTAGGATGGAGAAATTAAGACATAATTATTCATTCAACTTTAACAATCTTCAGAAATCACCAATTCAATTATCATAAACTGTTATAACAGTTGATTAAAGAGAATCCTCCCATTTAAAAAAAAATCTTTGAGGAATCAGCTTGATAGAAATACCACAATGGGAAGTTGTCTTTTTCTTTATTGCACAAATACATGTATGTCAAATCATATTAAAGTAACACCATTAACATTTTTCTTAAATATCAAAGAATCTGCAATAAATATGTTCTCACAATTTAAAATCTCAGTTTGTGAACTGTTCAATAAGACTACAACCTCTCAAGTATAATTTCCCAAAACTAAGAATTATTTTTTAAGAAAATAATCTTTTTAGCATAATATGTAGCCACAGGACACAGTATAGAGATTACACATGAAAAAGGTTTGATTTCTGTAAAAAGTAATATTAACCAGCTATATAGTAAATACCAAAGACTTACTGAAGAAAGGGCAAGAGATCAAAACCAGGACAGTTATCTTTTTCTTGGACAACATTAATTAGTAACACAATTGTGATTAATTTGTTTTTTGCTGCTGCAAATGGCACCAGAAGAGAAATTCACCACACAGGGTTTAGAAATAAGATTGAGCATGACATTAGCATTATATTAGCTAACTATCAGCTGGTATGTTCTGGACTTTGTTCACAGGTTGTTTGTATGTCTGTCTGTTTAACTTCATCCATCTTTTCCTGATCATTATTATCCTCTCCAAGGGAGCTAACTCTCTCCTGCTGTTTCACACTTGTTTTGCTCTCAGATTTAATAATCACCACATCTACATCCTCTGACTGGGGGTTGCCTTTTAACTTTACAATGTCTGTAATTGTGTCCTTGGTATCTAAATCAGGAGATGTATTTGGTGATTTATTAGCTGTGTTCTTGAGAGGAGCTTTTTGACTGGTATCCTGCCCTGCAGTCCTTTCTGTTGAGATATTACTAGAGATTTCCTTCTCTTGGCTGGTTCCTATACTTTTTCCTGAGATATCTTCACCTTTATAATCAGGGGAGACCTGTGATAAGAAAAAGTGAAATCTTAAATGGTCAAAAGGTTAACCTATATTTTACAAACTTTTTTAAATATAATTTTTTTCTTAAAAAAAAAAAGATGCAGGAATAAATGCCCAAGTCTGTTAAAAACAAGAGGCCCATGGGCCACAACGCTTGCCTTAGTTACTTTGGCCTTGCTGTTTTTCACCTGATTTCTCTCTCCCCCCCCCCCCCCCCCCCCCCCCCCCGTAGTACTTATTGTGGCCCCGCCCTACACCCAAGGGTCATGATTTGAACAATTTAGAACCTGCAGTACCCCAGAATGCTTCCACATTAGTTTCAGCTTTTCTGGCCCAGTGGTTCTTGAGAAGAAGATTTTTAAAGATGTTTACTACATATTTCAATGTAAAACTTGGATTCCCTATTGTGGCCCTGCCCTACCCCCGGGGGTCATGATTTGAACAATTTAAAATCTACACTACTCCAGGATGCTTCCACTTAAGTTTCAGCCTTTCTGGCCTAGTGGTTCTTGAGAAGAAGATTTTTACTATATATTTCTATGTAAAACTTGGATTCCCTACTGTGGCCCGCCCTGCCCCAGGGGGTCATGATTTGAACAATTTAGAATCTACACTACCCCAGAATGCTTCCACATCAGTTTCAGCCTTTCTGGCCCAGTGGTTCTTGAGAAGAAGATTTTTAAAGATGTTTACTACATATTTCAATGTAAAACTTGGATTCCCTATTGTGGCCCCACCCTACCCCCTGGGGTCATGATTTGAACAATTTAAAATCTACACTACCAAATGATGCTTCCGTATAAGTTTCAGCTTTTCTGGCCCAGTGGTTCTTGAGAAGAAGATTTTTAAAGATTTTTACTACATATTTTAATGTAAAACTTGGATACCCTATTGTGGCCCTGCCCTACCCCCAGGGTCATGATTTGAACAATTTAAAATCTACACTACCACCCCAGGATGCTTCCACATAGGTTTCAGCTTTTCTGGCCCAGTGGTTCTTGAGAAGAAGATTTTTTAAGGACCCCACCCAATTTTTGTATTTTCTTGATTATCTCCCCTTTGAAGGGGACTTGGCCCTTCATTTTAACAATTTAAACTCCCCTTCACCCATGGATGCTTTGTACCAAGTTCGGTTAAAATTGGCCCAGTGGTTCTTGAGAAGAAGTTGAAAATGTGAAAAGTTTACAGACGGACGGACAACAGACAACAGTGATCAGAAAAGCTCACTTGAGCTTTCAGCTCAGGTGAGCTAAAAAAAGAACAGCAAACAAATCATTAAAAGCTATTCAAAACAAACCTTGCAATCTAAGAGAGACAACTCTTCGAACATGTTAACAGCATTCATCACCATTTCCTTCATCCCGTTGTCTTGGCAGCGGTCCGAGGCGAGTTCATTTCTCTGTAGTACACAAAAAAAGTTCTCAAGAAACTTTCATCAGAGTTAAGTTATCATTTCCGTTTTTATATCATATAATTTTTGCTTTATCTGCACTCTCAATAAAGCAGCAAGTTCAGGGAACTGTAATTTTAAATCTTAATCTAAATGTTTAAATTTTAAATCTAAATCTAAATCTTTAAAATTCAAACCATTGTAAAGTGTCCTAGTAAAGTAAAAATAAGATATGCATTGACTAACTCTCTTCATGAAAAGCATTCAACTAAATCAACACCAACTTATAGTTTATGACATCAGTATCCCATGATTAAGGTTATCTTACCCAGCCTCTGATGGTAGGGTCAATCTCCGCCTCCTGTAGGAGTCATTACCCTATAATATCACTATCCAGTAATCTTACCCAGCCTCTGACAGTAAGGTCAATCCCCACCTCCTGTAGGAGTCATTAACCTCTGATATCACTATCCAGTGATCTTACCCAGCCTCTGACAGTAGGATTAAAGCCTGCTTCCATTAGCAGACATTAACCGATGACATCACTATCCAGTATTTATCCTAACAAGCCTATGATGGTAGGATCAATGCCTACCTCCATTAGGAGACATTACCCTATGACATCACTATCCCGTGATCTTACCCAGCCCCTGATGGTAGGATCTATGCCTGCCTCCAGTAGGAGACATTACCCTATGACATCACTATCCTGTGATCTTACTCAGCCTCTGACAGTAGGATTAAAGCCTGCCTCCATTAAGAGATGTTACCCTATGGCATCACTATCCTGTGATCTTACCCAGCCCCTGATGGTAGGATCAATGCCTGCCTCCATTCGGAGACATTACCCTATGACATCACTATCCCGTGATCTTACCAAGCCCCTGATGGTAGGATCAATACACAGCTCCAGTAGGAGACATTACCCTATGACATAGGGCTGGGACGATACAACTTTTTCTATATCGATACGTATCCCGATATTTGAGCCACGATACGATATGTAACACGATATGTTTAATTGGTTATAAATTCTTTTTTTATATTGAAATGAACAAGATATTTCTTCACAAATAAGAATAATTTATTCAAAGAAGTTGTATATCTGTTGTAAAACTTAATTATTTTGGTCTTAATTATTATGTATTTCATATTCATATTTATATTAAGCATATTTATTTTACCTATTAAACCCAAAATGTTAAGTTAACAAAGAAAAACATTAGTCAGAATTTTTTGGGAAATATGTCGATATTTCTTCATACGTATCGATATGCGTATCATCCTCACATTGAATCGATATTATTGATATCTCGATATATCGTCCCAGCCCTACTATGACATCACTATCCTGTGATCTTACCCAGCCCCTGATGGTAGGATCAATGCCTGCCTCTAGTAAGAGAAATACCATCTCATCATTGCCCCTGTCACAGGCCCAGTGTAAAGCAGTCCAGCGATTCTACAAACATCAGGGAAGGAGTCAATTTTTTACAAATATTTTTACAAAGATAAGATTCTTCCTGTTTTACCTTGTTAACATGAACTGTAGGAAGCAGTTTTTAATTTTGAAATTTGAGGAAAACTACATTCATTGATGAATTAGTCTTTTTTTGCTTTGGTTAAACTCACTGTTCCAAATGCATTGATTTCACACCCAGCACTGATAAGTGCACTAGCAACTTCTGGGTGGTTGTGGTAGCTGGCAAACATCAAACCCGTGAAATCTGCCTGTAAAATTCAAGTCAATCTAACAGAAAAAAAACACTGTACAAAGAAATAGTAAATATTTGCATACATGTATAATAAAGACCACTTGAAAAATCAAAAAAAGAATTTTACAGTTAGTATTGTACATAAGACTGCATAACTCAAAAGCTTTCAGAGACTTAATATGTAGAGAATGAATATAGTTATGTATATATTCAAGTTAATACATCAATCATTTAGACTTTTAGTAATTAAAATGTACAATATCAATCCTAAGACCACTAAGGGTGCAACGATAAACCGTTTGACGGTATATCGCGGTATATTTTTCCACGGTTCAATTCACGACACGCTAAACTGATATCGCGGTTCGGTTCAATCGGTCCAGAATTATCCGAATCATCCGTTTTGTTTCCTTTTTTACAATTTCAAAATGGCTTCCGCACAAAACGTGAGGTCGCCGATAACGCATTAACGGAAGTTAAACTCATCTCCAGCATCTTATAGACCTCAGATTTAGCACTGAGAAGGACTTAATGTGATTATATGTTATAGATGTTAAGACAAATGATAAACCCTTTAGATCTAAACATATTCTTTGGTAATACACGATATTTCATCACGTGTGTATTTTGATGAGAATTCACTGTCTTGTTGACTAAAACGTGTTAACACGAGAAATATGACAACTGGTTTTCTACGTAAATAAAAGGAATAAAAGAATGAATGTCTTCCTTTTTCATTCCAATTTAAAAAGATTATTAGGAAAGGTCCTCGTAGTTCCCTGTAAATGTTCATCATTGGTTTAGAATATTGTCAAAACTCAAAGATGTACCCAATAATCCAATTCAAGTTAACAAAATTTTATTTTAATTATTATCAAAAAAATATGAACATTTTATATAACCCTGTCAAGTTAAAGAAAAAATATGGTGACAAACTTGAAAGACTTTTTACCCTTGTCATGTATCATGATACATATCGTATCGTGAACTGAATACCGTGATACGTATCGTATTGTGAGGTTAGTGTATCGTTGCACCCCTAAAGACCACCACTGAAAACACATGACGATGTACATTTTATGAAAATCTCACCTCTCCAAGGTCACTACTCTTGGCATTGACGTCACTTCCTGCCTCTATAAGCCTCTGCGCGATTTCCCCGAGCTCAAAGTCACCCTTCTCTTGTGAGCGAGCTGTTTCATGGAGGGCTGATCTTTTATCCTACAGTAGTAACAGTACTATAATTAAACAAAAGATGTCACTTTGTTTTTCTTCAACATTTCTGTTAATGTATGTGCCGTTAAACATACAATGTATAATTCTGAAACACTTATATTCTACTAGCAATATAACCATACAATTTTCTTCAGGTCAGACACTAGCAAGTTGACATTTTCCTCTCAAAAGCCACAGAAGAAAATAACACAGTTCACATTTGTACAAACACTTGGCTGACCTTGTTCTCAATATTGACATCGGCACCATTCTTCAGCAGACATTTGACAACATCTGGCTTGTTCCAATAGGCTGCACAGTGTAGTGCAGTCCAACCGTTCTGAAATCACAGTTATTCCATTTTCAATGATCAGCTGACTTTTTATGAAATGTACACACACTATACTCTGGCCAGACACGACCTTACACAAAGCCAGGTCTGATTTTAGGGTATTCAATGTATAAAGACCATATTTTGTACCTAACAAATGAATGGTCCAATATTTTTAATCACGGTAGCATTTTGAAGGTGTTACCAAATAAAAATGCTCCACCAAACGAATTTACAAAATGTTGATTATTTTCCAGTGAATTGCACCTTGAATTTTACATTGAAGTCTATGGGCAGTGCATGTTTTTTTTAAGATATTGTAAAAAGTAATTTGAATTTCAAACAAATCTCTTGGTGAAAATATGCATAAACTCTCTCTTTATTAATCTATGAAATAAAATGAATCACTTACCACAGAAATTTTGAGAAATTAAAAATTTTCTGATTTACTGTAATCAAGGGGAGATAACTCTTCAAAAACTTTTAAGGTGCAAAATGACCAGCGTCTTACTTGTAATCAATCATGTGAATTTGGTTCATTTCACTTTTATCGTTATCTAGCAATGCATTTTTAAATAGTTTAAATTTATTCAAAATTGATAAAAATCCCTTCATTATACATTGAATACCTTAATGCATTTATCTATGAAACTGTATTAATGACTCCCAAGAACTATTTACAGGAAAACAAAAGTCATGTTTAAAGTGGACTCTTAATGAACCAGGTCTCTTTTGTCAACATTATGTTGAGTGTTACAATGCATATTGAATTTTCTTTCTTTTAATTTTGGACTTTCTTTAAAATGTTTTTCTGTATAACGACACTGACCTTGTCTTGAGTGTCAATTTCTGATCCAGCATCTATCAATATCTGTACGACCTCTGTATGACCTTTCATGGCTGCATGGTGAATTGGAAGACTGTCCCTCTGTTAATTAAATATCACATTTTAGTACACATAAATCTTTTTCTGTTTTCCTTAACTGTAGAGAAGACCTGGGTTTCAGATTGATTATCATAGGGTATTTGACTGGGTTACCATGGTAACTTACCACATCCTTGACATTGACCTTTGCCCCTTTCTCCAGGAGCATTCTTACAATATCAGGCTTTCCCTGAGAAGCCACATGAATTGGACAGCAGTCATGCTAAAACAGAAATTAAAATACAGATTTAAAAAAAAATAACATCACTGAAAAATTTTACTTTCAAAGTGCAGATTTTAGAAACACCTAGCACTATCACCCTTATATAGGACATTAGACATACAGAGACTTTACAAAAATCAACTCATTATCTACAAGCACAGCAAAAAAAGTCCACAAAACTAACTATAATGGAATGACAGAATGATGGAGAGGGGTAACTCTATTAAAAAAAAAAATAAAACTTGTATCTAATAAAAACTATAAGAAAATCAAATTAAAAAAAATATTACCATGAATCATTATATTTTAATCAAGTCATGGCATATGTGTGCATTTAGTGCCATTGAGGCTCAGTTTAATCAAATCATAGCATACTTGTCCATTTAGTGCCACTGGGGCTCAGTTTAATCAAGTCATAGCGTATGTGTGCATTTAGTGCCACTGGGGCTCAGTTTCAAGATGATGTAATTCAGAAATTTTTTTATCTTTATTTAATCACTGTACTTAAAAAAATACCCAATACACAAAATAATCATCCTGAAACTGAGCCCCTGTGTATCTAGTAAGAATAATGTAACTGTGTCTCAGGACAAGCCCTCACCACACTTAGAATACATCCCATATACATGATATAGCTGCAGTGTAGCAAATCAGAGGGATGTGTCAATTTACCCAAAAGGACCCAAAAGGATCCAAAAGGAACCCAAAAGAATATATCATAATGAAAATCAATAATTTGAATTTAATAATGAATTCTATATTATATAGTTTATATAAAAGTTGGCAAAAAACATAAATTTATACAGTTGCAACTTTTCTTTCAAAAATAACCCAACACCTTATAAGTATACATGTTTACAGGCCAAACACTAAATCTTGTTAGATATGCTTGTTGCTCCCCTCCCTGACTTTTTTCCAATCTTAATGTTTTAACTTTGAATTTATTTTAAAAATGTTCATTAAAAAGCGGGTTGCCCCCTTCATTTCTAGTCCTTTTGGATTTCTTTTAGGTCCTTTTGGGTAAACTGATGCACCAAATCAGAGTGGATCCATCTCAAAACATTTTTGAAGAATACAAAAGTAGTCACACCAAAAAAAAAAAAAAAGAATTAATCCAAAAAAAACCATTTTGAGCGTATATATGCCTTTTACCCTAAAAAATAATGTGTATAAGGCCATCATTGAAAATATCATTGTTTCCCCTAACCCGACCCTAAAATCTGAAGTTGGGTAGGTAGGTAGGTAAATTATTTTTTTTCTGACAGCAGTTATGAAAATGCATTCTGAAAAATTGAATATCTTTTTAAATAAGAAAAAACGAAAGAAACCAATTTTTAAACTGTATATCATACAAATGAAATTCAAAAGCAACAAGTATGGTAAATTAATTCACAAATATTATTCATTTGAACTTGTTAAATATCTCATCAGACCAGTGTAAATTGATTGAAATCGAATATTTACAAAAGGACAAGATTTGCAAATACTCAACCATCGGACATCCGAGTATATTTTTCAAACCTACCAGTCTATCATCTTCAAGTGCTTACACAGGCAAAATGTTAAGGGCTTCACGTGGCGCAGTGATTATAGAGTGTTTCGTTTTAGAGTCAGGACATAATTTAGGAGCTTATTCTAAGTCATATAGTAAAAATAGGGTCACACATGAACTGTTTATTAGATCCAAACAAATAAAATGCAGTGAGATTCATTGATATGTATACACAAGGAAGGCTTCTCATCTGCTCTTGAGGCAGGCTTTGCCATGCTTGCATGTACATTAATTTTAGTAGACACATTTGTAAATACCATCGAAACACTCTTTAGTCATGATATATTCAATTCACGAAATGTTTCAAGAGTGTAGGATTTTAATAAGTTAAAGATATATAATAAGATCGAAACGTCCCCTTTGTTTTATAACATGAACTAACCCTTTGTGACCACATGTTGTGGGCACCAAATCAGAGTAGAACAAAAGCCGCCGTTCTGATAAAAACAGATTTTGATAAAATTGCATTTAATAAAGTTGATAAATAATAAAAAAAATATTTGAATGATCTTATTAAAAAAAACTTTTCAGTTGGCGCGATTTAAGTGGGTCGGTCGCGTTAGGGGAAACAAAGGTATTTTTTATTTTGGCCTAACATAATTTGATAGTCATCATTTAGCAACATTTTTTCTCGCTTTGGATTTACACCCCATTTTGACATTCGGAACTCTTTGGATTATTTGTAGTAAACTTGTAGATTAGAACTTTATCTGCCTTTTTTTATTTTGCTACATTGCCAACACACAGGACAAATTCTATCGTTAAACCAGGTCCTTAGGACAATACTATTTTAATGATAGAATTTTCTATCTACTATGCATCAAACAATTAAGCATCAAAGAGTTAAAGATTAATAGATAAATAACCTTTAAATAATAAACAGATTTAGTCTCTGTGTCCCTAAATGAGTAAGTCTAGTTACACTGAATGCCAGAATGATGAAAAAGTATGATCCAAATATACTGTTCCATTTTTAAGATAATATATTTTCCATAAAATTATGCTAAAATCTGTTCCTTATCAAGAGAATGAATTCCATTAAACACTATGTAGTAACAAAGAGAGGTGGAAAATTTCAAAATGTGCACCATGGAATTAATGTTCCTGTACAATAATTAAGATTCCACTTTTCCTATCAACATTAGCTGATCATACTACAATGAATGAAGTGTCGATTTACAGAATTCACCACATTTTTTTTTTAATTAAATGCTCTGTTGAACTCTTTTCACTCATCTGTAACTTACAGTATAGGAGACCCAGTTAACATCGATATCTCCCTCCTCCAAGAACTTCCTCACTCTGTCTGTGTGACCAAAACCACAGGCTTCCCAAAACGCTTCCTGTCTGGACGCTGCCTGCCCCATGGCGGTAGATAAGCAATATACAACCCAAACAAAAGAACTTACAGAGAGCTTATAGCTTAATTTACGCTACATACAAAAAAGGGTGAATCACAGACTGCCATCAGCCATGGCCAGTGCCAAAATATTTTTTGTCTCTGAAAAAATCAAAACCGGAAAATTAAGATGTCAGTTATTTATAAACCTGAATACGGAAAATTTTTAAAATCCGGATCAGGGCAAGCGAGATATATGTTTTGTAGTTGGATATGGAATTTATTTCACGAGTGGGACAGGATTTTTTGATATTTTCACGAGTGCGAAGCACGAGTGTAAATATATATATCAGTCTCACAAGAGAATTCGCAGCTATGTTAAGGCTTCCCGAAGCTTTAAAATGCGCTCAAAACATACATGTAATATGTCATTGCGAGGTCGGTTTTGATTTAAATTTATAAGTATTGAACTTTAGTACTTCCAATTTATATAAAGGGTTTCCTCGGCTATATATTAGCATATCTGTTATGATATCACAGAACAGAACAGAACATTTATTTTCTAATTTAGAGCCCATAACAGACAAGTATGAAATTATAACAATAATAAAGAAAAGATATGCCAATGGATAGTATAACAATTTGTAAATGACACTGCTCATTTCAACAATAATATTGTATTATTTCAGTTAAAGGGAATACTATATATAAAACTGTATGACTACTACAACATGTTATCATTTATGAATTTGCCCACAGAATTAAGAGTTTCTTTGTCTTCAGTATTGAGTAACCAAAAAAGTTTTTGTTTATCATCTAATGCCGAGAAATTTGGAAATTTATTTTTAATTGATTGAAAAATTTCTTTTCTTTGATGATCATATTTTTTACATGTTATGAGAAAATGAGTTTCATCATCTACACTGTTAGAGTTACATCTATTGCATAATCGATCTTCTCGAGGGATGTTGGTAAATCTTCACATGACTTTGTTGATCACGTGACGGTCATTTATAATGTTTTGAAGTGTTTCATATAGATTGCTTCGGCGCAGCTTATTAACACAATAATTATTAACATTTTGTTACATGAATAAACTCATCGTATCCTTGTGTATCCGAAATGTGCTTGGGAAAAGTCATAGTATTACTTCGGTACAAAATATTTCCTAAGAAATTCAACTTACCTACAAATTTGAGGGTATTTTTTGTATTAAAACAAAGCCAACACACATTTTTCCCAAGCAAGGTTCAGTTAGAGAACAACCTCTTCTTACAGATTTCCACAAAAATTCTCAGATTAATCCTCATTAATCACCTGCGCCAGACTTTTTTTATGCACAAAAAATAAATTCTACCTCCAACCACGGGTATAAAACAGAGTACATTTCAAAAGTATATTTTTCATAAGCATTTTGAACATGATGAATTTCAATCAAGGGTAGGTAAGCGGTGTATTTTTAAAATATTCGGACATATAAGACTTATATAAAACCTTTAACAACCCGTGAATTTTGCAATAGCTATCTAGCATTTAACATGCAGTCTGAAATAAAGTGTAAAGTTCATGACACTCTCCCCGTCATAACACCTCAAGTTTGCAGTGACATGTCGTCATTTTCCATTATGACGTCATATTTTGGTAGTTCAGAGATGTGAAGGCACAGAGTGCACTGTCATATTCTAAGGGAAGCCTTAACCTACCTGCGAAATAATTTTCCTTATCCAACTACAAAACATTGAATTTTCTGTTTATTACATTTTCTTTGATTTTCCCTTTGCCTCTGTCTTTTCTGTGACGTCACCATAGAATTACTGGAGTATTGACACTCATGAGTACACTCGGTTGAAACGTCATAGCTTAAGATTGAAAATATGTGAGATTGAAAACATTGTAACACTTTAGCAACATATTTGGGAAGAAATTGTCAGTTTTAGTCTCTATCGAGATGGTTTAGTTACTACCATCTATCTTATGACAGGCCAGAAATTATTTTTTACTTACTTTGATATCCTCTCACACTGTGAGAGAATATCAACTTGGTATCCTATATAACACTGTGAGAGAATATCACTTAATTTTATTCAATAAATAAATCACAGTATTTCACTGTTGAAAATGTAATAATTTTTATACATGTCGGTTAGATCAAATTTAAGCGATCTGAAGGCCTGAGATACTTCCAGTGCCGGGTGAACTGTGGGTGGGGAACAGTCATGCACAACATGTTATACATGTAGGCACTCCCCAGCTTAACGGTTAAAAAAATATATATCTATTACACTAGTTGATAGTATAGAAGATATATATTTTTTAACAATTAAGCTGGGGAGTCCCTATGGTATAGGTTCGGAAAGGAGAATCGAACCCGGAACCTCCCTATCACAAAGCGAGTGATGTTCACTAGGCCTCCGCGACCGGTAGAAATAATCAAAGTACTCAGAAATACAGAGAGCCGGGCTCATTTACAGAGTAATGAAGAAAGACCGTTTTACATGAAACATACATTGTAATATAGCAGATAAATAGCAAGAAGTCCAGAAAGTAGGAAAAAAAGTAACATAAAAAAGGATATTTCTATGGGATATAGCATAAAAAAATGACTTTAAAATGAAATAAAATATAATTAGAATTTAACAGCAAAAAAATTTTATCCCATGCATTGTTCTGGAGTCTTATGCCACTTACAGAAGTAAATTTTATAACATTCATGCAGCAAAGTCAAACGTTTGTGCACAGATGAGTTTTCGGCGGGGAGTTTTGCAGCAAGGTCATGTGCTCCCCGAATCAATGTAGCCTGATAACAGAGCCTCTATTTATAGAATGTGACGCAGACGGGGGACCTGATGATTTTTAAACAAATAATTAATCGACGAACAATCGAAGAAAGTACATTACCATTAAAGTTAATTTGATTAGAAAATTCCTCAATTTACTTCGTTTACTTTAGTGTTTGTATTGTCTCAAAACCGGCTGAGCATACGTATACTACATTTTTACTCGTAATTTTGATTCGGCGGTGAGGAAGCAGCATATCCGGTTGAACACCGTGACAAAAGCCGACTATTGTTCTACGAGCAATGAGCCCGGCTCAGTCGCAACATCTCCGGCCTTTCCGTCAGAGAGAGCGGGAAAACAACCTCGAGGTTGTTTTTCTGCTTGTCTGAAAGACCCGAGAAGTTTCGATTGTAGCCCGGCTTAAATTTGCCTAGCAATTGGTATTAAACATGTCAGTCAAAATTCGACCCTAGGTCATTATAACGACCGTTCTTGTGAACTACCAACTTTTAGCTAGACTGTTGAAAGCCCTGAAACTTGTTAAGGTCTTCCGTTTCCAACGGAAGACCTTCTACTGATTCTGATGGTTAAGATTATTAGGGTCTTCCGTCTTCAGCGGAAGACCCTTCTATTATTCTTCGGTTTCTTTTTTACCTTTATTAGGGTCTTCCGTCTTCTGCGGAAGACCCTTCTATTATTCTATTGTTGATTTTTCACTTTTCTTATTAGGGTCTTCCGTCTTCTGCGGAAGACCCTTCTATTATTCTATTGTTGATTTTTCACTTTTCTTTTTATTATTATTATTCTTTTTTTTTTCCTTACCAATTTTGTGCAGAAGATTTCTCGGAGATCTCTCGATCGATTTGCTTCAAATTTTCAGGGTTAATGCGTTGCTATCTGAAGTTTATAACGCCGGTTCAGTTTTTGAAAAATCACTTCCGGTCAGAAGTTATCGCCCTTTGATCGATTTTGACATAGGCCTTGTGTCTGCACAAAAACTCAAAAACGACAAATGCTAGAGTGTTGAAACTTTCAGTGGTGATAGAGGACATGTTCTAGATGTGCACCTTGGTTTTCAAATTTTCCGGAAGTGCGAAGTATGGAAGCTGGGTAGGGGTCGAAATTTAGGACGTGATTTACGAGTGAATTTTAGAGACATTTCTTATAATAACATTTTAAATAGATGTATTTTGTTAAAACATATTGAACAAAAAGTCTTCAAAATTACAAGACCTTTTATTTGATATCAAGAAAAAGGGGCTGACCCCTCAAATTAGGGGCTCAGAAGGGCCAAAATTCTTTCATCTATAACTCTTTAATGATCAATATTTTGTTATAAATTACTGAAGCAAAAATGTTCATTATAACAATTTGCAACTATATATTATAAAATTTTGATCATATGTTACGTAACAAGGGGCCATAAGGGGCCAGAATGCTAAATCTTTGACACATTATATCTCGAAAAGGGGAAATATTTTGATAAGCAATATTGAACAAAAAATGTTCAGAATAATGTTCTAAACAATATACACCCTCTTAATTTTTGCAAGACATCCCCATTAAGGAGTTGGAGGGCTGGCCCCTAAATATTGTTATTCTATATATCTCTTAAACGAAAGGAAATTTCTGAATAGATGTTGAACAAAAAGTCTTCAAAATCACAAGACCTTTTATTTGATATCAAGAAAAAGGGACTGACCCCTCAAATTAGGGGCTCAGAAGGGCCAAAAGTCTTTCATCTATAACTCTTTAATGATCAATATTTTGTTATAAATTACTGAAGCAAAAATGTTCATCTTAACAATCTGCAACTATATATTATAAAATTTTGATTATATGTTACGTAATAAGGGGCCATAAGGGGCCAGAATGCTAAATCTTTGACACTTTACATCTCGAAAAGGGGAAATATTTTGATAAGCAATATTGAACAAAAGATGTTCAGAATAATGTTCTAAACAATATACACCCTCTTAATTTTTGCAAGACATCCCCATTAAGGAGTTGGAGGGCTGGCCCCTAAATATTGTTATTCTATATATCTCTTAAACGAAAGGAAATTTCTGAATAGATGTTGAACAAAAAGTCTTCAAAATCACAAGACCTTTTATTTGATATCAAGAAAAAGGGGCTGACCCCTCAAATTAGGGGCTCAGAAGGGCCAAATGTCTTTCATCTATAACTCTTTAATGATCAATATTTTGTTATAAATTATTGAAGCAAAAATGTTCATCTTAACAATCTGCAACTATATATTATAAAATTTTGATCATATGTTACGTAATAAGGGGCCATAAGGGGCCAGAATGCTAAATCTTTGACACTTTATATCTCGAAAAGG